TTTTTCGGAATGGCAAAAAGAACGCATTTTCAGAAATTTCAAAACAGACACTCAAAACACAAAACACAAAACAAATTCAAAACACAAAACACAAAACTGAAACACAAAGAGAACGGCCCCTTAGGGATTGTTCTCTTTGTATTTCAGTTTTGTGTTTCGAGTTTTGAATTCATTTTCGGTTTTGTGTTTTGAGTGTTCATTTTGAGATGGTTGAAAATGTAGTCTTTTTGACATTTTGAAAAATTGTTTTCAAAAATTGGAAAATGCAAAACGTGTTCTCTTCCCCTCCTCACTTCATGGCCTCTCTCTCTTCTTCATCGGCGGTGGTTGGTTTGGGTGTTGTGGTCGGATGCAATGGTGGCTGTGGCGGTGGTTGGGTTGCGATTTTTCGCTGTGGCAATGGGGGTCTTGGCTGTGGTGATTTTGACTGTGGTTGGGTAGCGATTCTGGATGTGGTTGGGTCGCGATTCTTGTAGTGATTTTGCGGTGGTTAGGTCATGATTTTGGCTGAGACGGTGGGGGTCTTCTGGTGGCGATTTTGGCTATGGTGGTGGGGGTATTTCTGGTGGCGATTTTTAGGTGGTTGGGTCGCGATTTTGGCGTGGTGGTGGGGGCCTTTCCAGTGGCGATTTTGGTGGTGGTAGTGCAGTGGTGGTTGGGTGCGGTGATGGTTAGTGGTGATTGAAAACAACGAAAACGCGTTTTGAAAATTTTGGCCAAATTATAACTGAAAACACCCAATTTGTCGTTTTGGATTTTTTTTTTGTAAATTTTAAACTTATTTTGAAAAATGTGTTTTCGAAAATAGGAAATAAAACACGTTTTTACTGTTTTAAAAAATCGAAAACAGAAAACGATTTCAAAATGGCAAAGAGAATTTGCCCTTATTTTTTCAAAAATCATTTTCAATTATGCATTCTCCAATAAAGCAATTTTACACGTAAATCGAAAAATTTTCCTTATTTTTTAACCACATTCTCCAAAAAAATTATTTTTTCAAAACACATTTTTATCCAAACATTCTCCAATAAAACAATTTTATATGTAAATCAAAATTTTTTATTTTATTTTTTAACCACACATTTTCTAAAAAAATCATTATTTAAAAAAAATATTTTTCCCCAAAAATGGGGCTCAAATGAGGGGAAGATAAAGAGTATGAACTTAGTTTTAAGAATTGACTTTCTAATATTTAAAGAGTCTCTTATATATGCTTTTAGCATCAATCAACGTTTTATAGAACAATCAGTTACTGTTGTAAACAAAATAGATTTGCCGTGAAAAATACAAAACATTAGAACTCTCGAAATTCAATTGAGCAATTGACACCATCAAGTCACTTGTGACATGTTTGGTAACGAGGTTTTAATAGCACAAGACACCATTTAGCTCCTATTTGACATCCATTAAATCAATTTTTTTTTTCAAACTCATTTTCAAAAACACATTCACAGAATAAAATATTTTACACATAAACTCAAAATTTTTTCCCATTTTTAATCATACATTCTCAAAAAAATCACTACCCAAAAACTCATTTTTCCAAAATATTAAAAAAAACTAATTTTAATGGATGTCAAACAGGAGCTTAAAAAGAGCAATAACCCCTTTTTTTTACATTGTTAGAGCATCTCCAAGAGACTCTCTATTTTTAAAGAGCATATTTTATCATTTGAAGAGCACCTATAAATTTAGAGAGTTAGAATTTTGAAATACTTCAACAAACTCTTTATATTTAATACTTGATTTTACTATTTTCAAAAAATTTATTATTTTTCTTTATCTTTTATGTAAACTTGGTGTTTAACAATTTGACCCAATATTGTGGTAGCCCAATTCTATTATATATGGGCCCTATGATGCACCATTTACTATTTGTGAGATGGCCAGCCCATTGGAGTGCAACCCGGTAGCTTAATTCATCACTTATCTCAAGGGCTGAGATTGTGACACATGGTTGAGCTACGACCGTTGGATGCTTCTACCATTTGATATCACTTTGGCCAGTCTCTTCATTTCTCTCAGATGTTCGAGATCATTATAGAGTTTACTCTTTAGCTCTCTCGTTTCTCTCTCTCTGAAAACCTTTGGTTTTCGTCTGTAATCTTTGATCTAGATGTTTCTTCGTGAGATCTAGTGTTTGATTAAAGCTTAGGTTAGTTTTCTGTTCTTCGGTGGGCAGTAACCTTTCTGAGTGTTCTAAGAGAGATTTCTGGGTCTGAGGGCTAATCCTTTGTGGATTTGTTGTATTGT